GTAAGAAAAAAATTGTATTAGTCTTTATTGACGAAAATGTTGAACTCGAAGTTAATCATTTTCGATAGCAGATACTACGTTATCGTTCTCGTTGTTTAATGTAAAAGATTCAATGGTGAATATTTTTATTGTTTTTTGATTACGACGTAAAGATAAAAAGATTATCTCTTAGTCTTGATAAAGAATGATTGATTGAAATATTCAGAAAATACTGAAGAATTTAAATGAAAGCTCAGAACTTGCTTTGAATAAATGTATTGAAGATATCACTGTTTTAAATTCAGAAGACGATTGATAACTTCATGTTGATTTTCAAATTTTTTTCAGTATTCCATCACGAGTTTCATTGAATTTTTGTGTTGCTGCTGTAGCATCAGATACTTTTATTTTATCAGGACATATAAGTTTAATTTTTTTACGAGTATTAACAGCTGTCTCTCTTATTTCATCTTTACTAATGTTTAGTGTACCATAATAATCATATTTGTTCTTTAGAAAGTATTCGTTTTATTTCAGCTAGATCTTGTTGCTTATATTCTTTTATAGTTTCACTTTTACATTGTAATTTCTTATGATTTCGAGAGAATAATTTTTCATCATTTTGTATACTGTTTGATTGATTATTTTTCAGAATAAATATGTACTCTATTCAATTGTGATTTGTATGTGGGAGCATAAGAAAAGTTTTTAATTCTTTGGTGAGAATTTCTAGTCAAAAAAGAAAGTTTTTTTTTTGAGGAGTTTCATTAATTGAAGCATAAATCAGGATTAGTAGTAAAAGAAGCTAACGAATGAGTAGCATGTTTGTATAGTCTAAGAAAAAAAATGAAAAAAAAACCTCATACGCCAATTTTAAAATAAGGTCAATAGACGTAACAACTTTTTGGTTCATTTATTTAAAAACTAATCAAGTGAAATTTTATTTAGTTGTTCTTATGGTTTCGATATGTTCTTTTCTGAAATCCATCTGACGAGGTTTTTATTTTATTTATTCTACATATAGATGATAATGCGACGAATTCAAATTGCCATAGCATAAAACACAACTAGAGCATGAATTTATGTATAATATTTTTTTTCCTAAATAAAATATAGACGTGGATATTTCATTGTTTGACATAGACATGCTATAAGGGAACTAACTAGATGAGATTAATCAACACAAATAGTATTTCCGTTTTTCATTAGGTAACAATCTAGAATGCTCATTTATGTCAAAGTACAATATTCTCTGAAAAAATAAAATAAAATTCTTCCTATAGAATAAATAGTAAGGCATCTGAATTGATTTATACAAAATCGATCATATGATTTTGATTTCAACTATAGGATAGACATGAGACAAGAAAGTGATAAATCTAAATAATAATCAAACAGCATCAGAGATCCAAACAGGCCCACTTTTTAATGGCCTGACCTGCCTGTGACAGGCTTACACCCCTCCTAGCCTGCTTGTGCCTGTTCTCTGATTTTCTCGGCCTGTCTGTCTGTCTAGGCCTGTGTACTTTTTTCACGTCAATCTCATGATAAAAATACCATAGAAAGAAATAGTAATCTTCATAAAAAGTTGCATTAGTCACTGAGTTCAATCTACATCACTACATTGAAAAGTTTCTAATTGAAAAGTCCATGAGAATTGTCAGCTTTCCAATGGAACAAAGGTATCATGCTTCTTTGTAATTGACAGCATGTGAAACTAAGGATAGAACAAAGACTATTCATTTCCAAAGATACTTCAAGTCAGCCGGAATATAAAAAAAGCATAGTTTTCAGGTCACTTAAAAAAACGTTTTCTCTAATGAACGATCGATTTCTAGTTAAAGTCGCTCGGCGAAAATTGGCATCGTTCTGAATAAGCAAGTAACTTCATTAAAGAGACAGCTACAATGCCTACCTGTAAAAACTGCGGAAACACTTTCAGGTAAAAAAACAACTCATGTAAAAGTCAGAAAAGATCCATTTTAAATGACTAAAATCATTATTCTTTTATCGATTGTCAATTGGTAGAGAATCGATTACAATAAAAACAAAAATCAAAGACAATTCATTATCGATTCCTAATTTATTAAAAATGTATGATGTTACTGAACCTAGAATCAACTTTTTGCATCACTTCTTTTATAAATACTAGATCTGCATTCGTCATAGCATCAGAAAATTTAATTTCATATATGCTTATACTTTTGTCACCGCTTAGCAAAAAGTTAAGGAATGCTACACCGTGCTTTAGAAAGCTGGTAGCTTCGAAGACCTTGAATATTTTTCGTGTAGCTTTCTCTTCTTATACTTTGTAATAAAACATTATATAGAATGTTTGAAGAGAATTTTACCTTAGATGAAAATTAATAACATTATATAAATAGTAAAATTTCACATAAAAAGCTATTTATATCTTCTGGACCATCCGATTTTTAATTTTCTAAGGCGTCGTATAAGTAAAAGTGAAAGTAATTATGGTTGTCTGTATCTAAAAGAAAGGCTATCCTTCAGCTGAATCAAAAAACGCGGCACGCAGTAGCGATGTGTAAATAATATCAATTTCGAACTCTATCCTTTTTCAGAGTTGGTGATGTCTGTGGATATTGACAATTTTACAAATACTCGCATACATTGAAAAGTTTCATTACTGATTAAGAGTTTACAAACTGAACATTATTGATACGTAGACAAAAGAAAAGCAATGCTAAGATAGTCAACTTGTGAAAGATATCTGGTTTTTGTTCAAAAATATTTTCATTGGACTTATCATGCTAGATCATAAGGTCATTCAAAGTATTGGGATCAAGAGAGAAACAGAATTCAATCAATGGTAAATCTGCAACAGAAAAAAGGATTTAGAATCAATTAATTTAACTAAAATTGAGGTTCATGACAAGTAGATAATGATAACTATGAAAATTTGTGCTCCTCATCTCTTCAGAATGGTAAGGGTATTGATTTCCTATAAGTATCTTTAATATTCATTCCGCAGTATTTGTCTAATTCATCGTGCTTAAATGTGATTTTTTGAAAACTAATGAAGGTTGCATCTATTTACTAACAAAATCATGAGATTCTCAGATGAAACTTCGATTTCTAAGAAAAACTAGTCAGGCCAGGCGGTCTATCATTTGCAAGCGGCCTACCTGGCCCGTCTTAGGGGTCGACCTGACCTGCCTGTAACAGGCGCAGGCTTCAAGATCGTGGCATGTGCCTGTCATAGCTAGACAGGCCCAGGCAGTCCGACAGGCCTTGTGGTCTGTTTGGACCTCTCATCTGAGCACTCGACTTGAATTGGCTTAATTAAAAACAGTCGATTTTACTTTAAAAACTTCTCTCCAAGAATAGAATGGCATTCTATATTGAAATGCCATCAACAAGAGAAACTTCACAGGGTGTAATAGCAGGCCATGGATTTTTCTAAATGTTTTACACTAATTCTGCGAATTTGCAAGATTTAGCATCTAAAAACCTAGGTTTTGAATAAACAACAATTTTTTGTAATTTAAAGTATTTTTTTTCTAGCAAAAGTGTTTTCCAAATAATATTTCTGATATTTTGACACATGGTTGCTAAAAGCTTCTCTCTAAATATCAGAAAAATTCTTCAAAAACCATCAATTCTTTTAGATAAATGCTAGCAAAAAGGTAGCTCGCAATACAAGACCATCTTTGAAAAAGTGATATGAATTTCGATAATAGAAGGCTATTGGTTTTTTATTCCATTGAACTAGAGGTGTTACTTTACTTTTTCTTATAAAATAAATATAAATCCGACCATTGTATTCATAAAATAAATACAAATGGATTCTTTATTTTTGAAAAATGAATATAACTAGATAAGTAAATCTTTATTGTTAAAAGATAAAGTTAAACAAAATCGTTATATCTATAACATAAAGATAGATGAATTGTTTACTTTCAAGAATAAAGATAAGATAAAGAATAGAGAAAGGTTTATTTTTATAATAGGTAAATAGACAAATATCTAATAAAACAGCAGTATATGTTAAGGAATATTTTTTTTTTAATCATCAACATCACTTCGACATGTGATATAATTAAGAATCAAACTAATACATGAAAAAATATATACAACAGATTTTTCTGTATATTTCATTTCCATCTATGGCATCATAACTTTTGATGAACTAGTTAGTAAAAGCTGAAGATTATGTTCTCATAGAAGAAAAGCTTCTTTATTTTTTATTCTATCTTTATTTTATAAATATAAAGATTTTATCTATCTTAATTTTTGAATTATAAAGATAAAGATTTTATTTATATTTATCCTTTATTATAAAGAAAAGTAAATATTAAGTAACACCCCTAAATGAGACAAAAGAGTAGACAACTATAATTTGTCAGTATTTTGATTTATACTAGTTAGCACTAATCACTATCGCACTTCGAAGTATGGCTTGTGTCAAAGTTTGGTCTAGTGTTACATTTCTTAGTATAGGAGGATGAGGAATTCACAAAGAAACTGGAGCTTTCAAATTAAAAATTCAGAAAAATGTGTATTACACGCATCGTGATTAAAGACGATTAAAGTTGAATAATCTTATTAAAACAGAAACACTTTAATCAAGTTTCAACCATGAAAAAGTTCATTAAAACTAGATTTGTTTTGAAGTTTTAACACGAATATTGTTCTCTAGTACACAATTTTTTTCATTGTCAACTGGGTTTTATTTGACACTTTTTTGAACCTACATTAATAAATTTTTAATATTAAAGTTGAAAGCAATCACTTATTTTTTTTATCAATTTTGCGAGATCTTGTCATAAAAGAAACTCAATTTAGTAGCCTTCCCCTGCGAGCAGGGGCAGGGTGAAAAAACATTTTATGATTCATCTTCAGGGCAAGGCGTAAAAAAGTACTCTCTGACGGTCACTGACCTATATCCTCTCAATTAATACATTCTCAGCAAAGACAATCATCACATTTAATCGAGTATATCAAAATAATCATTTGATAATTTCTTCTTATTATAAAATTTTTCAAGAAATGTTCCAGAAATGACTCATGAATATGTTATTTGTTTATTAGATAAACTATTAAATCAATTTGAAGAACGTTATAGTAATTAATATCAATATATTCAAAGAACAATATGTGATATATATGTATATAATATTATAAAATATCTTCTTAAAAAATGTACTTAATAGTAATATATTCTATTCTGAACTTAATTATATAACTATATTTAATTTTGAAAGTATTCCTTATATTCTTATAATAGGGTATAATATTCAATTATTTCAACGTTATAATCGTCAATTAACATATGAATATCTTGAACAAAATCAAGAATTTGTTTGGTATGCCCATAATGGTTATGATTCAGGACGGTTTCATGATATGAGTATAGATTCAAATCTAATGATTATTTGGATTAAATGTCAAAAAACGAACATGTGCATATCATTGTAAAATATGGCATATTATAATGACTTGTCAAGAATATGATCAATCAAAAATATTATCTAAGATTGTGATCATATGACATGTAAAGATATAAATATAAATTTTGTTGACAATGTTTTGCTGATTATCAAAATATTCTAAATTATGGTTTAAGACAACATATGAAAAATTGTATTTATTATACCATTTATCGCCATTATAATCATTGTTCTTATAGATAAAGATCAACTACTTGTAATATTTTATAGAATTAAACATATATTTACTTTTTATTTCTATATTAATTCATCTCAATACTTCTATATATATATAAACGAAGTTTAGAAAATTGATTTGTTTAAATGACAAATTATGAAAGACAATATTCATGATTTTATGGTAAATATTCATTAGAATAGATCGATACAGAATTATTATTAGTTTATCATAGCTTTTAATCATGAAGGAGTTGGGAGAGGACTAGATCCTCTAATATTTAGTCAGACACATATGTAAAAATTATTGAAAGATATGATGAAATAAAATCTTATCAATGAACTATGTCGAGAATTTCTTTGTATAGAATCACTTCGAATAACAATACCAGATCTTATATAAATCAGTAAACATAATTCAATGCTTTCATTGATCTCAAATCAGTTTTTTTCAAAATCTTCTTTTTTTTTTAGTTTAAATAAAATCATAAAAGAATTGTATATATTAAAAAAGGATTTGTAGAATCTTCAGAATTATTAATTTGTATTTTGTTGATCTAATTAAATCGAATAAATTTTCTAAAACAAAATATTCATTTTATACTTTGTTGTTGTTGTTGTTATTGTACAATCCTATCGTGATGAATAGTCGCTAATGTATTTGTTATAGTTGAACATTTTCGTTCGAGTATGTTTGAATAATTTTGCACATCACCTAATTTCTTTTTTTTTTTTTGTTAAAGAAAGAATAATATTTTTACTTGTTTAAAAATAAAAAGAACAAAGTTTAAATACAAGAGTAAATTTTCGTAAAAATTCCATATTATCCAGATGTGGTTGATTCCCCAAAGTATTCTTTTTATCATTATATAGCTCGACAATCCGAGTATCTACTGTAAACGTCTTAGCTTTTGGATAGCTGGTTACGCAACAGATATAGACGAGCAAAAGTTCCACTACTAGTGAGACTAATAATCCAGTCATAGAGTGATATCTCGAGCCGGGCTTGGTTTATTGTGTAGGATAATTCAATATGTATCTACTCTGAAATTTTCATGATTCTGCATCACGTTAAACAGAAATAGTATGCTTTTGAGTAGATAGGGATGGAATCGACATCGTTAATTGAAGGAAAAGAATGTCATAATAAAAACTGAATATCTCAATGACGATTTGAGTTATCGAGGTGCGGTTGATAGAAAAAAAGCCCACTAATCGATGTACTTTTAGCATTTGTAATTGAAATCGAAATTCAGAAAAATCGATTGAGCACCATAGATCGTAGTTTAAATGAAATGTCTTATAAATATACTTTCGAATATCATTTCCTTATGTGTCGACAGAAAAGTCCTGTGTTAATAGGTTAGAATATGAGTAGTAAAAAAGAATCCACTGTCTGTTTAAAAGTAACGTGAAAGTCTTATGTTGTCTTAATGAAAATAAAAATTCGAATCTACGTAGGATATACCATAAGTGATGTCATCAAAGCTATACAATCTTATGGAAAACTTAAAGAAAGTTTTTTCAGAATGACAAAGTCTTCATGAGGAAAGAGTTAAAAGATCGGATTCATATAAGATTGCTACTCTCATCTGGCAGTTACTTAATTTCGTCAATGAAGGATATCTAACTTGATGTATTAGACGACAAACTTATTGCTTTTCAATCGATCTGTTGTCATAGCAAATTCTTCTTCTTCCATTTGACGTATTGACCACGATTTTAATCAGCAAAAATATAATTAAAGTATGTATCAACCAATATGTTTACATCAACACAAATCTTTGGATATAGTGCATCTAAAACAATATTCGAATTTTCATGCTTGATATCGATCTTTACAAATTCGATTGTTTTTTTTTTCTATATGTGAAATGAATAAAAATAATCCTATGAAAATTAATTATGCATTGTTATGGATAAATTAATAATGATTAGTAGAGCATTTTATATCATGATTGAAATCCTTATTTGTGAATAAAACATCACATGTTTCATTTAATCAAAGTTACCCTATGCATCATAGAATTACTCAATAATAAAATAAGAAAAAAAACTTATAATTTTTTTTTTTATCTGTAAGTTCGTAATAATTTAATAAAGATTAAATTCAACATAATGATGTTCTTTGGTGTTTTTTTTTCTAAATTATACTTGTTAACATTTGACAGTAAGTGATGATTCATTGATAAGTGTTCGACCTTGTGCAACGGCTCGTGCTGCTAATTGATTGTGTAATGATGTGAGACGTGTTGGATTTTGTGCAATATGTTGTTTAGCTTGTTCCAAACTAAAAAACAAAAATGATATAAGCAAATAATGTATAAGAAATGAATGATACTCGTTTTTATTCTTCATCTTACAACGGTCGCATGGCCCAATGGTTAAGGCACCCGCCTACGGAGCGGGGGATTCCAGGTTCGAATCCTGGTGTGATCGGTATAATTTTTTTTTCTTGTTAGTACAAAAAAAAGAGAGATACACGAGATTAGGATTTTTATCAGTAATTTTATTTTTTACAAAAATAATGAAAACATCATTTGCATAGTACAATTTTTGTAGATATTTTTATTGAAATATCTTAAATCTAATTTAATTTATATAATATTCCTGTTGATATAACATATATAAAAATAATAGTTATGACAATGGCTAATAGTTCATATTTGAACAAAAATAAAATTGATTATTTTTATATGAGTTATTTGATTATTAATATAAAAAAAAAATATTTTTTTTTTGAAGGATATTCATATTGTAATCTGATACATATATGAATTTTTTTCTTTCTTTAACAACGGTCGCATGGCCCAATGGTTAAGGCACCCGCCTACGGAGCGGGGGATTCCAGGTTCGAATCCTGGTGTGATCGGTTGAAATTCTTTTTTTTCTCTTTCTTTCAAAATACATACTCGGTTTTTCCTTTTCGTTCAACTTTTGATTTAAGTACATATTGATCATCATATTCAGATAAATGTGGCCATTTTTCTTTTGCTTGTCGATATTGATGTTGTTGTTCAGTATGTTGTTGTTCATATTCGGCTGTTGTTTTAAGTTGAATTGAATCAAGTATATGATGACGATTTAAATTAAGATTAGAATGAAACCATGTTGTATCATCTTTTAATAATTAAAAACAAGAAATTTTTTACTATTATATTTATGTACTTACATTGATTTCTTTGTAAATAATATCCATCATTAGGTCGTCCATGATCAAAAATAATTTGACCAGAACGTGCTGTTGGTGGACGACGAAACATATCAATTGAAACATATCTTTCAACGGGTTCACCATCATGTATATGTCCAAGTGTTCGTTCACCGGCTCGATTTGGATACCATTTTGGAAAAGCATTTGATGTACAACCATTATATTCATCTGGTAATTTTGATGTATATGCTTGTGGTGTAACATATGTATATTCTGTACCACCACCAACAGCACCACCCATACGTAAATGACTCATTGGATATGAATCTGTTTGACGTTGACGATAACATCGAAAAGCACCGGTTGCTGTTGATATACGAGCTTTATTAAAAAATATCGGACTAGCTGTACGTTCGATATTTGATTCTTGTTCTTTTGTTAAACATGTATATGGTTCATTAGGTGTTCGTGGACGAAGACCTTCTTCAGTATACTAAAATATTTTTAAAAACAAATGAATTGAAAAATTTTTTTTATGTGTCATTTTTTTTTTACTTTTGAATATGGTTTAATTAACGTAGTTTTTGAACGCAATATGGCTTGACCCCATTGTTGAATATCATCTTTAACATCAGTATTTTCTGTTTCAATTGAATTAGTTGTTGCCATTGATGTGAGTAAAAAATCAATCAATGAAAGCGAATTTTTTATATAAGACTATCGATAGTAGCCATTTGCAACTTAATTGCTTAGTAATAACCTTTTAATAGAAAAATAATCTTATTAATTGTATTTAATTATTTTTAAAATACAAATAAATTAAAGTAGATTTTAAAATAAGAGTTTATTAAAATATTGAGATTCATTATTGTTTTCAATAGATGACATTAGTTGTTAGAACAATTTATTTCTACATACTGTATGTATAAGAAAAAACAAATTTTAGTTATATTGATGAGTAAAACCATTATTCATTAGTTTTCGTTCTGTATTTGTTTTGTCCAAGGAAAAACACATGTATACGCATCGATGAATATATATATATGTATATCATACAGGTATCATCACATATTTTATTCATTTTTTATTTTTCGTCATGACTCTTGGTGGCTTACTTATCAATCGTCGTACCAAACGACAGTATCGTTTAGATGGATGCCGTCGATCACGTAAAAATCCTTTATTAAATTTAGCACGACCATTTTTATCTTTATTAACTGGTTCACAATTACCAAATGTTGTTGATTTACGTCCATTTTTAAGTCCAATTGAAGAACAATATACATTTGGTTCATGTGTTGGTAATGCATTAGCATCAATATTAGAATATTTTTATTATTATACAACTGGTCATATAAAAATATTTAGTCGTTTATTTATTTATTATAATGCTCGAATGATGGAAGATGAAATATCACAACGAAATGCAACTAAAACAGATTCTGGTGCTGATATACAATATGCTATTGTAAGTTTAATTAAATATGGTTGTTGTGAAGAAAAATTTTGGCCATTTTATGAATATCTTATTAATAAACAACCAAATTATGATGCATATGAAAATGGACAAAATTATTGTTTAAATGAATTTAGTCGTCTTTCAAATAATATCAATCAATTACGACAATGTCTTGCTCAAGGTTATCCATTTATAATGGCTATTAAAATATTTTCATCATTTGGATCAAATCATCATGGTTATATACCCATGCCAAAAAAATATGAAAAACCATCACAATATCGACATGCTATTATTTGTGTAGGTTATATACATTCAGAACGTGTATTTATTATACGTAATTCACATGGTATTCATTGGGGTGATCATGGTTATGGTTATTTACCATATGAATATGTTATAGATAAAATTTTAACAAAAGATTTATGGGCATTAAAATCAATTAAAAATATGATATCAATACGAAATGAAGAACATATGACATGGAATAATTTTCCTATGTTATCAAAATCATTTAGTCAACAAGATATGATTGATGATCGATCACAATGTGATATTGAATATTCAAATGATGAAGATAATGAACAAGATGAATCCGAATTAGCTAATATTTCTAAACAATATCAGCGTCATTATTCACAAGAATCGGAAATAGAACGTGCAGCATCACCAGCACAACTTGAAGAAAATCATTTCATACAACCATCTTTATTAAATTACTATCCAATAGCTTATAATCCACCTCCGACTATATTTATGAATACATCTGTAATGGGACCTTTTCCTTATAATAATTCATCTATGTTTTATCCAACATCTTTCTTTAGATCATTTTAAAGACATCTACAATGTAATAGATAGTTGTTTTTATTCATTCGAAAAATTTATTCGATTCTTTATGATATATAGAATAACAATAAGTAATCTTCTCTCGTGTACTTTGTTCTATTTTCAATTTAAGTACAACCATTTATATATCGATATGTGCAACAGGTCAATTGACTCCTTCTTCGTTTCTGTTTTTATTAACAAGCAAAATTGATGCATCAATAGAATCATTAAAAAGCAATAAAAATGTTATTTTATTTTTGCTTTTACTATCTATCATATTTATTATTAAAGGTCATATATCTAACATAATCATAACAATATTTCTATGGGCATGTTCGATGCTTGAATAACAATTGTATCTAAATTATCTATTCATATATTCATTTGTCATTCCATCCAAGAAAAAACAAATGTCATTTCTTTGTTTTTTTTCTATGGGTTTTTGGGAAGAAAGAATTCTGTTATTCCGATAACATATTGATTGATGACATTTGAAATATATCATTACCATATTACAATAAATGTGTCTGTAATGATACATCGGCGCTACATTACAAATGGAATATCTTTTCCCTTTCAATATGTATATTATGTACATAAACTGAATTACTTCTGTTTTTGATTGGACAAACTTAGAATTCGACTACACGAAAATCCATACAATCGAAATAATTAAAATGTAAGTATATTAACTATTCTTTTATTCAAAAGTATCTTCTTGATCTTCTAAATACTTTCAAACTTAAAGGACTTAAGTCTATTCACTCATATTGATACGCTCGGTTTGTTTTGAATGACAAATAGAAGAGTGATTATATATCTTTATTTTTCCTTTTTTTTTTCTATATATAGCTATTCAAGATAAAAAGAAGTCAACATTCATTGATTATTTCAATCAATATATTTGCCAGAATTTTACGTTAAACTTTCTAATCATTCACTGACATAGATAATATCATCCATTACCAACGAATTTTAGTCATATTGAACAACATATGGATAAAACTATAAACAATAATCTTACATTATCTAGTCAAAAATATCATCTTTTTATTACTGTTTTTATTATTATTGGTATACTTGTTACAATTGTATGTCTTCTTGCATTATATATATTATGTAAAAGTGGAGTATCATATCGTCATAGAATTCAATTAGATTATATTATTGATCCACAATTAGCCAAACAAGCAGCACTAAAACTTTCACCTGAACCAGTGTAAACAAGAATGATTTTCAATAGGAGAATCTTTATTTATATTGTTTTGTAAACTAGCAGATCTCAGTTTAATTATGAATACAAATAATGAAAATAACACTTGATATCTCTGAATTTTTGCTATCTTCAATTTGTCTTGACTAGGTCCTAGAAACTTAGGATAGGCTAAAGATCATTTTGGTAAGTCTCCAAAAAGATACTTTGAAAAAAAGCCAATTTTGGGGTTTGTGAGTTTATCAAGATATATAATAGTGTGTAGAGACCAAAATTCTGTATGATAAGACTTCTTCATATTCTATACTTTAAGGCTAAAACCACGCGTACGCTTCATAATTCACCCCCAATGGAGTTGTCCTGATACCTCTTTTTATTGCAGTAAGAAAAGTATTTCAGGTGAAAATTCTTAATACAACAAAATTTCAATAGATAGAGAAATAATAATAATTGGTTAATAGTAGAATGATGTGACAATAGATTTACTATTTGATTTTACGTTATATGATAGCATTTAGTTAGGATTTTTGTAGATTATATTTGTATTATTATTCTTATCATTGGTTAACGCTCCTAAGATGAACGACTATAATAAATGATCGGCCTATGAAAATTTTATGCATTAATTATTATTTAAGTTTTAATTAACTGAAACTTACTTTTATAGTATTAGTATAATTATTACAAAAAAATCTGTATTACATAAATAGAATAATTTAAATACATCTTGAGAGTTATGAATTCCATTACTCATCATGTCTTCTATCACATTTAATCGATAACGTATATCATATATTGTTTCAGAAACATTATTTAAACAACCTTTTTGTAATGAATGACCTTTCGCGGAGTAAAATGCACATCGTTATTCATTAGTTAAGCATATTATATCGGTATAATTATTGATACAACTAGAAATAAAAAATAATCAACAGTTTAAAAAATTTCTTCAAATCTCAAGTTTTACCTAAGCTCGGATACTCCTATTGAATCAGATGTGTATAATAACTTCATATTTTTCTTGAATATATTCAATCGTGTTTCACTTATGGTCAAATTCGATAAAAGTTTTCGAAGTTTATCAAGTGCACAATTATCATATGTTTTGCATTGAATACGTTTTCTTATGAATATAGTTTTATTTTTTAAGTTACCCATGATTCTGTATTGTACAACACTTCTTATACCAGTATCAACACCAAACATATCGTCATAAGAACTTAAAACTGATTGTGCAGCACTGATATGAGTTAGTTCAACTAACATCATCTTTGTATCATAATCAATGAAAACTTTTGCATAACAAGAACTATCAATAGGACCGGAAGCTGTTACAGAATTAGCTTCACGCATTGTACAATCCTTAAATGTTGCAGCTAATTTTGTACCGTCAGGTATTGGATCATTAATATTAAGTACAAAGTCACATTTTGTTTTTGATGATGCAGAATCAGCTTGATTTGTCATACAATAAAGTTTATTTGTTGGCCAATACTTTACCAGCAAGAAAATCAAAATCAAGAAGTATATAATAATTGATGTGAATAAGATAGCAAATAAGATAATAAATGATGTGGTGCTCGTTTTTTGGAATTCAATTTAATATTCAACATAGAATTCACTCCAGCTAAAGAATGAATTTAAAAAGATTTTACTTTTTTTTTTTGATCAACATAAACTGATAGCTGATCTCAATATTGACAATTTTATCAAGAAGTTTGTGATTCATTGAGTGTGAAGAGATGTTTGTTACATCACTAATATTCTTATCAATTTAAGGATGTGTTGCTAAAGACAACATAATCAAAAAGGGCAAAAAAATAAGTGCAAATGTTATACAATGTAAAATTAACTAAGTTTTTCAATCACATGGCAAATGAATAAATCATGCTAACTGTATGGAATTGATTGAAATAGAATGGTGTGCTTGTCTTTTTCTGTTAATATTCATATACCTTTAAACTCATCTTAATGAGAGATGTACACTGCCCGCAGCATCAAAGAACATTTGTAGCGTGATAATTGAGCAGTTTCTATGTTCTGTTTCTCTTCTTATTTCATCATCGTACGGTTTCACCTTATAATTATACTAACTTTTAAACTCTAGTGCTAGGTATTTGTTTAAAAAAATGTACGTTAGATGCTAAACAATGAAAAAAAAGGAATTTATTTTGATTGAAAGTTATCCTGATAAGAAAATAATTGAACTTAAAATTTAGTGAATTTTATTGTAATGAATGTAACATCTAAGTTTATCTTAAACTTAAATGGACGCAAATTTAACTACAAAACCAGTTAAAATGGACATGAACATCCTATTTCGAAGTCAAGTACGGATATTATCAACAATCTATGGATTTTGTTTTCATTATATCGATATAATGGAGCGAAGCTTGCCGCCTGTCGGAGCAATGATTAAATATCACTAGCACTAATGATAATTCATCAATGGGCTGTTACTGACATCTTTTTTGTTAATTATTTGAACTTTATACGGTACTGCTATATAGTAATATTGTTTGTTGTAGTTGTGCAGGAGAAAATTTTATGTGACGATGATCTCGATACTGGAAAATTCAGCCTTTTAATCACGAGAGTAATCGAAAATGCTGGCTTGTCATTGAGGATCATTTGATCACTTCGGTGATGCTGTTTGCTGGATTCAAAGATGCAAGAGGATGATTCGTAGCACGTTGGAAAGAAAAGAGTGTAAGAGGAATCTCAAGGATTCGAGCTGCGAAATCGACAACTGGATAATATCATTGTTCTTGAGTCCATCGATATCAAACTAAGATGAATAATTTTATTATATATAATCTACTTTCTACTGTACTTTCTTTGTTAAGCGAATAAATGATCTTTGGATATGTATGAGAAGATTAAACATAAAAAAGTGATTAGAACGAAGAACTAAAACAATAAACGGCTTGCTCGGAAAAGAACATGGAAAAGTAGGCAGTAGACACTATGTATGAAAATAAGAATATTCTTGTTCTGTAACATTGCCTATCGAATCGAGTCGAACGGAGAGCGGATCGAATATAACTGAACTCGAATGAAGATTTTCTCATTCATTTTGGTCTCTAACCCCCACCCTCCCACGTCCATCCACCGACAAGGTAATCAGATCTCTAGTATGGATGTCGGTGTGAGTGTGCGTCTTCTTTTCACTTGTACCCACACGCATCCTATGCTAACCTGATCGTCACTGTTTCAGAAACAATGCTTTTCTTCAGTCAAAAAAACAAAATTTGTCAAAATCCATATGTACTTTATTTTCCTGTCAGATGACGATTCGATTGATGTATAAATATTTTGAAAAAGTTTTCAAACAAAAGACTACATAGGTTTGCGAAAGAAGAGTATCAGTGAATAAATTTTCATCTCCGTTGATCGCATGAATAACGATGGCTACTCTGAAAATTGTTTGAAGCCAATCAAATGAATACTTTTATAATCAGTTTCAGATGCTGAATCCGAATAAAGCAATTTTAAAAATCTATGTTGAATGGAAAAGGATGAAATTTCACATTTTCCTCGAAAACAGTGATGTTTTTCACTTTTTTCAACTTTTTAGTATTTTCAAGATTTCAAACTCGAAACGTGATCAAAACACAATAAAAACTAGATATGAGATTCAACTCAAAAAAAGGTCTATCAAACCATGTATAAATCAAAGAAACTTTTCTTTGCTTCGCTTTTATATTTAGTATAGCTTAGCTCAATGATCACCGGTGTAGCTATTCTTGGCGGCAGAATAATGAAGAAGAAGTGTTTATAGGTGAAAGCAAAAAAGTGTTATCAAACGTATTCATACACATACCTTCACCTGAGTGTTTACCTCGTGTTATTTGACTTAGAAAAAAATATTATTGCAGACTATCATCAAAACTGCACCACTCTCTAGTTTCTTATCAAAATTTTCTGTTTAAATGAAAGCAATGAATCAAGTGCTCTTTTTGCATACACACCGACTTGTTCGCAAAAACAAGAGCAAACAGAATGTATGCGCATCAACTTATATATTTTTCTCATTATGACGACCGTTTCGACGATGGAACAGACGCTCCGTGTTGTTGGCAAACATTGACATTAAATACACGGTATTCAATTACGTATTTTCAAATGAAGATGAAGACCAAATAAAACTATGATATCGCCCTCGACAATCTTAACGGAGTTTCTACGACTCACATCGAAGTACTGTGCTGGTAATTTTGAAAAGAGGCAATGTATAAACAATCATTTTAATTCAATTGATCTTTAGTTTTTCAAGGTACTGCACCATCGTACATTAAAGTCACTTGATAAAATGGAGGTATCGATGAAAAAAGACGCATGTCTACACCCAGAATTTGCAACTACTTCAGCGACCAGTTTATGTCGTAAGATAAGTCTTGATATTCCACAAATGCACATGAACGTTACAAGAGACAATCTTATTATAGGAAAAATTGCACACGCTACTCATATAACGTTCTAAATCCAACATCATCTTAAAGAAAAAAAAACATCACTTCATACCTAATACTGCAGGAGAAGCTTTCAACAGAATCTCTATGAGATTCTAATATGAAACACGAGTATCATTTCAATTATGACTGGGAGTGTGAGTGGATTAAAAGGAAATATCAGACTACACAATCGAATTCCATATCAGTACCACACATCATATTATAAAAATTGTTACTATGAGTTGATGTACAGAGTGTGAGTGTTTATGTACTCTTCACACCCACACCCACACTCCACACGCCCGCATCCTATACCCTACATCCTACATCCAGTTATAATAATATTGCTCCATTGTACATAATCTTGTGTGTATACTGTTTTCTCAGGAATAAAAACTCACATCAACATCTAAAAATCCAGCCACGTTAACCACTATCTGGATCTAGGCTATTTGTTTTTCTATGCTACTATATAAAAGTATTTACATTATTTTTCCATGGAAAAACGTTTTCCTAAACAACTCGATGAACTACATCTAAAGATAGCAACAAACGTTTTGTTGAAGTTTTGAATTGCCGGTGCCATACTAGCGAATAAAATTATAAAAGCGAGAATCTGAACTTTCGTTTTAGATTACTGAAAATATTGATAGATTCGATAATAAAATCGAATAGACAACATCCAAAATTTCTAGTGTATTTAGTATCTGACAGTAATATGGCCACTGCCATTTTACCAGTCAAAGACGCCGACAATCAACATTCTAAAATTATTTATCTTATTTGGCTCGATGCTAATGTAAATATTGAAGAAGTTCGTGATACAGAACAAAAATTAAGTTCGATTATCAATCATCTCAAACAGTTTCAGGATGTAAAACAATGTCAAAAATTTATTGAAGGACTACCACAAAATGAACGAGTAATTATGATTGTTAGTGGTCGATTGGGACGAGAAATAGTCCCTTCTATTCACACACGTCGCCAAGTCATATCGATATATGTGTACTGCATGGATAAGGAGAGTAATGAAAAATGGGCTTGTAAATTTGCAAAAGTAAAATAATGTTGAACGATTTTAATGTCATATTTTATATCATTCTTTGTTTATAGGTGAAAGCTGTTATGGTTAATCGTAATGAACTTATTTCACGAATTCAAGCTGATCATAACACTGAAAAAGAAAACGAACAATTATTGTCAATTAGTATTCGTCCGACAATGACTAGTGAACGTGTTAAAGAATTGGGTATAAATACTCAGTTTGTTTTTTCTCAAACTTTGATTAATTGTCTTCTACGACTAAGATCTACACCAAGAGATAAAAAAGAACTTATTAGTTGTTGTAAGAAGGACTATGAAGGTAATAACGTCGAGTTGAGCAAACTTCATGAATTTGAAGAAAATTATTCACCAGATAAAGTCTTATGGTGGTACACACAAGAATCATTCTTTTACAAGGTTCTTAATAGAGCTCTACGCACTGAAAATATTCATATGATTTTTTTATTTCGCTCATTTATCTGTGATATGCATCGTCAATTGGAAAAGTATCAAGTTAAACATATGCTCCGAGTTTATCGCTGTCAACTGATGTCAAATGATGAATTGGAAAAATTGAAACAAAATTGCGGTTGTTTTATTTCAATAAACAGTTTTTTTTCGACTAGTGCTAGTCGTGAGACAGCTATATCATATTTTAGACATCATGATGTTTCAAAAGACTTAGCAACAGTAGTATTTGAAATCGATGCCGATCCTAGTGTGGCTACTAGAACTCCATTCGCTGAAATCAGTGCACACGGTGCATATCCTAATGAATCAGAAGTACTCTTTATGCTTGGCTCTATATTTCGTGTGAACAACGTCAGCCGCAGTAACGATAATCGAATGTGGATCATTCGAATGACTTTGTGTGGTGAGAATGAAGAAGAATTAAAATATCCTTTCATATATATATAAAAGAACAACTTGGAAATGGAGAAACAAGCCTTCAAACATTGGGAAAATTATTATGGAAGATGGGAAAACTTGATCTTGCTGAAAATTACTTTATGCGTTTCGTCGAAGAACTTACACCAAATGATCCATTACTCATTGTTTTGTATGAAGATCTCGGTAAACTTACATCAGAGATGGGTAAATTTGATCAGAGTGTTCAGTGGCAACAAAAATCTATGGCACTTAAAAATAAACAGCAATCAGTTTCTATTATTAGCATCGATAAACCAAGCAGTTCTATTGGTAAGCTCATCAAAAGAAAGTGTACGAATATTAAAATGAACGCTCTAGATAAAAATTAATATTTGATTATAAGCATTCATTATCGATTCTATCAAGAGATCCCGACTTTGATTTAATAAGCAGTCATTTTAGATCTTCAAAATAGTTGACAGCTAAGATTAAATTGATAGAACTGTCTATTATCATTTATTCTATTTTTAAATCTAACATTTTGAGCAAATCGAAGTTGTTCTTATTTTATATGTAGCTATTTAAGTGAATGTAAATATGATTCTATTTATGTTTTCATTGAATATGCAAATAAATAATAATTATAATGATTAGACTCACTATATTTTAAAGATTTCTGTTAAATATAAATTTATCACTAAACAGGCGGAAATCAATAATAGTTTTTTTTAATGTAAAAGCAAAAAAAAACATAGTTTTATTTTTCTAATACAAAATTCATAAATACTGTCCAAAAAATATTGCTTTTAATTTCAACACAAAAATATAAACGTTTCATAATTTCTAAACCATATGCCATAAGGTTTCGTCTTTCTATTATTTTTTATTCTTTCATTATTCAAGTCTTTGAATCATTCAAATTTTTTACTGTTGTTTTGTGGTGTGTCGTCATGAAAAGAGTGTCGGTGTATATCAAATTTATATCCATACCTACACTCATACTCTTTCATTCTTGTTTCCAGAACGAACTGTTAATAAATAGATATTATCTGTTACATCTATGATATATCAGTGTCATTTGAAGCATATAGACTAGACGATCCGTTGACGAAAAGTCTGCGTGTATTCTATGTTAAGAAATGATAGTTGACTGCCCTTGTTGTCGTAGTTTACATCATAGTTCGTCTCCAAGAAATTATGTCACTGTCAGAAAGACATTCTAATATATTATCTTCTTGAACTATATTTTAGTCAAAAGACAAGATGAAAAGCGTTTCAATTCTGGCTCACTAGATATTGAATGGTTGCTTGTCGAAACCAATGCAGACTACTTGGCACTTCTGGTGCGAGACTTCTTTGCACCATACGGTGCAGATGTTGATTTCGAAAAGCGCATAACTGCAGTTCAACACAATTACATCGAGAAAGAATTAAAGAAAAAATCGGATATAGACAAAATTAGCTATCTCTTTGACAAAGCTGCAAAGGAAAAAGATCCGAAATATCTTATTCAAGCATACACTGCAGAGACTGATTTCTATCGAATATTAAATTTAAACTTGGCACAAGCACAATTAATCAATATTGAATCCTTCCAAATAGAAATCAATCAACACTGTACTTCGATTGTTGGGATCCTCACTCATCATTCTTTCTTCGATCCATTCGATTTTCGTGGCGAATGTTATCGTGGCATGAGTATAAAAAAAAGTGAACTTGATAAATATAAGAAAGGATCACGTATTTTAACAAAATCATTTCTATCCTCTTCCCAAACTCGTGACGTTGCCATCAACTTTGCTGTTACCTCAGCTTCTAGCGGCACAATCAGTATCTTATGTATCTACAATATTCGTAATCGTAGAAGTGGGCTTAATCTCGAACAAATATCAGAGTTTCCAAATGAAAAAGAAGTTCTTATCATGCCATATACAGCATTTAAAGTTATAGATGTTAGCTATCTTGATGGAGACACAACCAAGATCAGAGCCGAAATAAAATTAAAAGAGTGTGAACCTTGGTGATATGAACAGATTACACCAAAAACTTTGCTTATCATGCCATACACATTTTATTTTGATATTTATCTAACTTAGACATAACGGAAAACTTATGCTCGATGATTTTTCTTCGCATACCGTGAGAGGGTGGGGGTGTAGGTGTAAGTGTTCGTGTGCGTCTTCTCTTTTCTTTTACAGCCTCCCACCCACAATCACACCCTTTTTCCTAAACACTTCAAAAACTCAACGAACTTAAGTCTATTCATTCATGTCAGTACAATCATTTCATTTTGAATGACATTTTTTTTTCAACGAAAAATTAGCATTTTTTGAATATCAATGAAAAAAGATATTCTACCGTCATAGCAATATTCTTCTGGAGCTAGCTAAATGTATCAGGTTAGAATAGGCATACAGCCATAGTTTTCTTCTTTCTAGTTTTTCTGTTTCTTTCGATTTATCATCAAGTTCCTTGTAAGTGCTCACGAGTGTTACAATAAAATAGAGAATTAATCAAAAAGAAAATGAAAAACTGACAACATTTTATATTCTCTCTTTCACATATTCAATTATTTTGTATCATATAATGTTCTAAGATCTTCTAATTACAAATTTTCTATACAAAAAGGAAGTGTAATATTTCATTCGTATTTTGGAATATTGAAGTCTCATTTTTTTTTCATAGTTATTGCAGATGAAAAAAAAAGGAAATATTTCCTTATGAATTAAAATCAAAATCTTCCCCAAAATTTCACATTAAACTTACTAATTATTCTCTTGTTCATTTATCATCTATTACTCGAATAAATTTATTTAATTTATTACTTTCATTAGAAATCATTTGTGGACTTTCGTCTTCGAAAAATACAATTATTTATTTCCATCATCTATTATCAATGAATTTTAGTCAAATTGAACATCATTTTAATGCAACTGTAAATGTCAACCTTATATTATCTAGTCAAAAACATCATCGTTTTATTGTTATTTTTATTATTATTGGTATTCTTGTTACAATTGTATGTCTTCATGCTTTATACATATTATGTAAAAGTCGAGCACCATATCGTCATAGAATTCGACTAGATTATATGATTGATTTACACGTAGCCAAAGAAGCTGCACTAAAACTTGCACCAGAACAAGTGTAAAAAAGACTTATATTCAATAATAGAATATATTTGTGTTAATTAAATATCAAAAATACGTATGTCAATATTGAATATAAATCATTTAAGAAACTAGAATTATTATAATTGTCAATGAGTACAAGTCATTTACAGTAAAACTTCTCTATGTAGACACTATGCTTAGAAAATAATTCTTTGGTTTTGTATCATCCTTTTTACATACATGTTAAGTTTTAAATCTTTTCTATGTTTTTTCTTTTTGAAAATGAATTATCAGTGGCACATTTATTAATGTTTATGTATAGTAAAAGATCTATATTTGTAGGCAAATAATTTCAAGAGAGAAATGATTGGTTTCTATATGGCAATTCGATCGATACATACTCATTATAAAAAAAAACTATAACATTATTTATTAGTCATTGGTATTGCAAAACACTAATGCAAGTACTAGAAAAAGCAAGACATGATGAAAAAGAAAGAGAATAGTGTGCATTTTAATATTTTTTTTCCATAATAATAATGATCTCAACCATTTTTTCTTTCACAAACCGAAACATTCAAGTTAAAGCAAGTATAGTTTGGCTCAATTCTATTGCAATAGGATTTATAAGTTGAAATTCTTTCTAAATATTTTTCGTTCATGGAGGTAGAAAAATTATACATTTTTTTTTCTCTTCTTTTTTATAAAAAAAACAAATAAATAAATGCATATTTGAACACTTTTTATTTTTAGCATGAATTTGAGATTCTTCTATCTCACATCGAGTCGAATTAATTTCAATATATTCGTTGAAGATCGAATAACTATCGAATACGTTATACGATTTTCATCAATTAGAATTAAGAATCCGCTAACGAGTGAATTATCCAATGTTTTCATCTGTTTTAATTTATTCTTACATCATTTTATAGGTTGTATTACAGAAAAACAATATCTTAAATAATTCTGGCTCATGATTTGTCGATGAAGAGTTATGATCATCGGTCGAAAATTTTTATAGAGAGCAACCCATTTCTGAAAAAATCAAAATAAGGAATTTTCACTTGAAATTTTCTCTACGAAAATAAACATGTATTTGTTGAGATATTTCATTTTCCAGTAAACTGGATAATTTTCTTCTCCGACATTAAATCTTTGTTGTTTTTTTTTTTTGGACATTGGATATTGCAACAAAGACATCTTCGTTTTCGTTGCAAAGTTTAGAATTTTCTAATGGCTATTAAAATTAGTTATAAGCAAAAACTTTAGGTCAAAGCTTTTCATTTTCTTTTTCAGCAATGCCAGCAGTAGGCCATGAGTTCAAATTTTCTAAGACTTTATCTTAACTCAATATAATCTATCAAATGATATATGCATGAACCAAAACGAAGATAGATACATCGAGCACTTTTCTCGTAAGTATCTTTATTAGACAGATGTAAAGACAAAAGTACAAGATGCAATCTAGAATGGTTTATGTATATATTTCCGTGATAGATATCATCAAGCAATTTAATGAACACTAAGAAGAGTTTAATCTAAGATACTGTCATTTTGTGCGATTATTAAAAAGTGTACTTCTAGGTTTTGTATTAGATGAAAGTTAAATTTCATCATGTCAAATTGTCAAGTAATGACACAACTTAGTTATTTACAACTGTTAGGTTTTTTTTGACCATTTTTGAGGACTTGATTAGTATTACTTGCCAAAAAAAACGTTTTAAGAAAAAAAAACAGAATCTTCATTAATAAGTAGATTCTTGAAAAGAAAATAGAACTACCTTTTATCTATCATAGAGATAATCAATATGTTTTATGTTATTTCAACCAAAAGAAAGCCACATGTATTTTTTGAAAAAAAGAATATTTTTCTTTGTGAAAGACAAGTGAGGGTGTCTAGCTAATCAGTTGTTTTTGTTGAACATTTTGAAAAACAGTTTTTTTTTCATATGAAAAAACCGATTAAGTGTTTTACAGATTATTGATATTCTAAGCGAATGGGAAAAGTACGAATGCTTCATCCATCGTCAGGACGTAACAATTTCGATACAGTCTCAAATGAAACAACAGCTGCCAGTAATGATGATCAAGTATCACAAACAACTATCAAGGATGAAGGTTTAGGAGAAACAACTAATATAAAAGAAATTGAAGAAAAAACAAAAGATGCTCTCAAAGTTGCTACTGCATCACTATCACAGGCTTCACCAAATAACATCAATAATGATAAGAAAGAATGACTATAAAATATTTTAATTATAAATAACATTCGATTTTGAAATAAAACATCTAATAAATTTGATGAAATTAACCAATGTTGGTGTAAGACTCGAAAAACATAGAGAAAATTTTTTCTCCGATAATATAAAGAAAATGTATAAAATAATACA